TTTTAAATATTTTTAAAGGTAGAATCCTTTCACAGTGATGTACAACATAAAAATAATTTAAATATATGCACACAACAAATACAATAGAGCAAATAAATATTCTAATAAAATACCATTAAAGAGTATTTTAGCACCAATAATATTTAGCTCCCCCTTCATGGATCACTGCCTTGCTGTGGCGAAGCTATGCCGTGCAGGGCCACCCAAGATGGACAGGTCATAGCAGAGAGCTCTGACAAAACGTGATCCACTGGAGAAGGAAATGGCAACCCACTCCAATATCTTTGCCATGAAAACCCCATGGACAGTACCAAAAGGCAAAAAAATATGACTCTGGAAGATGAGCCCCTCAGGTCAGAAGGTGTCCAGTATGCTACTGGGGAAGAGCAGAGGGCTAGTACTAGTAGCGCCAGAAAGAATGAAGCGACCAGGTCAAAGCCGAAAGGACACTCAGTTGCGGATGTATCTGGTGGTGAAAGGAGAGTCCGATGTTGTAAAGATCAATATAGCATAGGAGCCTGGAATGTAAGATCTATGACTCAAGGCAAGCTGGATATGGTCAAACAAGAGATGACAAGACTGAACATCGACATCTTAGGATCAGTGAACTAAAATGGACTGGAATGGGTGAATTTAATTCAGATGACCATCAGGTATACTACTGCGGGCAAGAATCCCTCAGAAGAAATGGAGTAGCTTTCATAGTCAATAAAAGAGTAGGAAAAGCAGTACTGGGATACAATCTCCAAAATGAAAGAATGATCGCAGTTCGAATCCAAGGCAAACCATTCAACATCACAATAGTCCAAGTCTATGCCCCAACCACTGGTGCTGAAGAGGTTGAAGTTGACCGGTTCTATGAAGGCCTACAACACCTTCTAGAATTAACACCAAAAAATGATGTCCTTATCATCATAGGGGATTAGAATGCTAAAGTAGGAAGGCAAAAGATAACCAGAATAACAGGCAAGTTTGGCCTTGGAGTACAAAATAAAGCAGGGCACAGGCTGGAAGAATTTTGTCAAGAGAATACAATGGTCATAGCAAACACTCTTTTCCAACAACCCAAGAGACGACTCTACACATGGACATCACCAGACAGTCAACACAGAAATCAGATTGACTATGTGCTCTGTAGCCAAAGATGGAGAAGCTCTATACAGTCAGTAAAAACTAGACCAGGAGCTGACTGTGGCTCAAATCATGAGCTTCTCGTTGCAAAATTTAGGCTTAAGTTTAAGGAAGTAGGGAAAAGCACAAGACCACTCATGTATGACCTAAATCATATTCCTGATGAATATACAGTGGAGGTGAAAAATAGATTTAAGGAATTAGATCTAAGAGACAGAGTGCCTGAAGAACTATGGACGGAGGTTTGCAACATTGCACAAGAGGCAGCAACTAAAACCATCCCAAAAAGAAATGCAAGAAAGCAAAATGGCTGTCTGAGGAAGCTTTACAAATAGCTGAGGAATGAAGGGAAGCTAAAGGCAAGGGCAATTGAATGCAGAATTCCAGAGAATAGCTAGAAGAGATAAGAATGCCTTCTTAAATGAACAGTGCAAAGAAATAGAAGAAAACAATAGAATAGGGAGGATCACTTAAAGAAAATTGGACATATGAAGGGAAAGTTTCATGCAAAGATGGGCATGGTAAAGGATCAAAATGGCAGGGACCTAACAGAGGCAGAAGAGATTAAGAAGAGGTGGCAAGACTACACAGAAGAACTATACAAGAAAGAGCTTAATGTCCCTGATAACCTCGATGGTGTGGTCACTGACCTCGAGCCAGACATCCTGCAATGTGAAGTCAAATGGGCCTTAGCAAGTCTGAGCAACAACAAAGCCAGTGGAGGTGACAGTATTCCAGCTGAGCTATTCAAAATCCTAAAAGACGATGCAGTAAAAGTGCTACACTCAATACACCAGCAAATTTGGAAAACTCAACAGTGGCCACAGGATTGGAAAAGGTCAGTTTACATTCCAATCCCAAAGAAGGGCAATGCCAAAGAATGTTCAAACTACCGCACCATTGCACTCATTTCACATGCTAGCAAAGTTATGCTCAAAATCCTACAAGCAGTATGTGGACTGAGAACTACCAGAAGTACAGGCAGGATTTCGAAGAGGCAGAGAAACTAGAGATCAAATTTCCAACATCCACTGGATCATGGAGAAAGCTAGGGAGTTCCAAAAAATCTATTTCTGCTTGATTGACTATGCTAAAGCCTTTGATTGTGTGGATCACAACAAATTGTGGTAAGTTCTTAAAGAGATGGGAGTACCAGATCATCTTATATTTCTCTTGAGAAACCTATATTCGGGTCAAGAAGCAACAGTGAGAACTGGGCACGGAACTACTGATTGGTTCAAAATTGGGAAAGGGGTATGGCAAGTCTATATACTGCCACCCTGCCTGTTTAACTTATATGCAGAGCACATCATGAGAAAGATGGGGCTAGATAAATCACAAGTTGAAATTAAGATTGCCAGGAGAAATATCAACAATCTCAGATATGCAGATGATACCACTCTCATGGCAGAAAGTGAAGAGGAACTAAAGAGCCTCTTGATACAGATGAAGGAGGTGAGCATTGAGTTTCAAATTGGCTTGAAACTCAACATTAAGAAAACTAAGATCATGGCATCTGGTCCTCTCACTTCCTGGCAAATAGATGGGGAAGAAATGGAGGTAGTGACAGATTTTATTTTCCTGGGCTCCAAGATCACCGCAGATGGGGACTGCAGCCAAGAAATTAAAAGATGCTTGCTCCTTGGGAGGAAAGCTATGACAAATCTAGATAGCATACTAAAAAGCAGAGACATCATCCTGCCAACAAAAGTGCATATAGTCGAGGCTATGGTTTTCCCAGTTGCAGTGTATGGCTGTGAAAGTTGGACCATAAGGAAGGCTGAGCACCGAAGAATTGAGGCCTTTGAATTGTGGTGCTGGAGAAGACTCCTGAAAGTCCCTTGGACTGCAAGGCGATCAAAGCGGTCAGTCCTAGAGGAGATCAACCCTGACTGCTCTTTAGAAGGCCAGATCCTGAAGATGAAACTCAAATACTTTGGCCACCTAATGAGAAGGAAGGACTCCCTGGAGAAGAGCCTAATGCTGGGAAGGATGGACGGCAAAAGAAGAAGGGGGCAGCAGAGGATGAGGTGGCTGGATGGAGTCACTGAAGCAGTTGGTGTGAGCTTAAGTGGACTCCAGGGGATGGTGGAGGACAGGAAGGCCTGGAGGAATGTTGTCCATGGGGTCGCGAAGTTGTGTCCGACCCATCGCGACCCAAAAACAAAAAAAAATATTTTGCCCAAAAAAATCTGCAGCCCACAGAACACGGCAAGGCCAAAAAAAAAAAAAAAACCCTAACAAAACAAAAACAACTTTTCAACATCCATGCAGAGTGCTATGATTACTGAATGAAAAACAGGGAAGCACTTTTGAATTTCATGAGTTTTGTTCAGGTGAATGACAACTGCTAATGCTCTAAATCTTTACTGAGAACAGAAGAATTATCTTATTATATCTGAACAAGCTTCCACTTCATCCATCATTCTATTTCCCACAATGGTCTGCAAAATGTCACTTAGATCTCCTCAAATAGATGAAGACTGTAGGTATAGCCTACTGTTTGCTAGAAACACTTGTATGTTGCATTCTGCCTCACATTTGGATCCCACAATGAATAATATTATTAATGAAGTAGTATTTCTAAGTGCTGGTATGATTCTCCAAAGCAGGAGAAACTGCTGTCCTTGTTGTCTTTCCAAAGCCAGATTGTAATTATTGGAGTTCCTGGTGGATGTGGAACCAGGAGGGAGTTACTGATACTCAGTGCTGGTCTAAAGGTCATACATAAGAGCCATGCTCAATCAGATCAAAGGCCTATTTAGTCCAGCATTCTTTTCTTACAGCAGTCAACCAGTTGCTCATGGGAAACCCACAAGCAGGATATGAGGACAATAGCACCCTGGTACTCATGTTCCCCAGTAACTGGTATACAGAGGCATGCCACCTCCAATACTAAAGATAATATATAGTTATCCTCACCACTGCTACTACTATTATTATTTTCATTTCTAAGCCACCTGTAGCCTATGCTCTCTGGCTGGTTTACAACTAAATATAAAAACAATAAAATCCAATAGATAAAACATTAAGAATTAAAAATTAATTTAAAATCCCATAAAAGAACATTAAAAGATATTTTTTTAAAAAGATCCAGAGTAAAAGAAAAGTAATTGGCTAATCATATCAGGCCCCAGAATGACCAGAGAGGTCTTTAAAGGCCTCTGCAAAGGAATAACTGGTAGCTTTGAATTCCCCACCAATTCAAAACTCATGTTCTACTATTATAAGGCAGGGAGAGAAATATCTCCCTATCAACTTACCCCCCATGGATAAAATATAATTCTATACTGCCTCTGCCAGTACCCACTCCTTACTTGCCTTTTTTCTAAACGTAAATCTCCGGGTGCTATACATCTTTCTGTAGGGAAGAAATTTAATTTCCTTGATCCCTTTGGGATTTTTCTTCACATCTCTCAGCTCTACAATATCCTTTTTGAGGTATAGTGACCAGGCCTGTGACCATGGTATAACAAGTATGGTCACACTACAGACTTTTATAAGGGGAGTGTGATCTTAGTAGTTTTATTTTCTGTTCATTTCTTTTCCTAATTACATCAATATCCCTTGGTGCTAGTTACATGTACTGAGGCCTGGCATTTTTGCAGGGAACTGGGTATGCCTGCTGTTTCTAAAAGGAACCTCTCTGTCGTCTCCAAGTCTCTATTCACCTACTTTGCTGGCACACAGTAGTGTGATAGTGGCATTTGAAGACCACATGTTGATGGGAAAGGGCTCCATCTTAGGCAGCTATCACATTTAGGGCTACTTATTTATGAATAGCCTGAAGCTGACATAAAGGCTTTGTTGAGAGGTGCTCTACCATATTTCTACAGACCCTTGTGCTAAAGAATGGAAGAAATACCTACTGGTTTTCGAGTTGGTGTGACCTGAACAGAATGATAGAATTCTGGTTGAACTCTGCTGCTCTTCTTGATTTTTCTTTTCTTGACAGATGTTTCTTGCTCACTCAGCTGATGTACTTCTACTAAAGGTTGTGTTTCTTCAAGTCGAGGTACTACACGTCTTCTAATATGGCGTGGACTTGGTCTGAAACCCTGTTAAACAAAGATGGAATAAATTACATAGTATCTCTTGGTTCTTGTATTCTTTCATATAATAGAACTATTATACAAAGTAGAACTAAACATTAGCAAATGATTGAATTGTTTTCTTACTAAACCCTTATACATTGCTTTCTTTCCAGTCAATGGACATGAAAATAAGAATATGATTGAAAAACCAAGTTTCTTTTAACTTTGATGAAAGTTAATAAGCAAATTCTCAGCAGGAAAACCATACTATAACCTATGACCAAGAAAAACTGCTGAATGAGAACAAAGCCTGGCTCTGCTTAGTGCTAGAAGGAGGAGGGGTGCTAATCTTCCAGCACAAGCCAAGCCCCCACATCTCCTGTATCCCGCTGTAATCTTTAATTTCAAATCAGAGATAATTGTGGCAATTCTCCTGAATATGACCAAAGGTCATCCAGCCACCATTGAGAGGACCTTTAGGAAGGACCTCTGCTCCTTCCATCACCCCCACCACATCCGTGCTGCTACCTTTAATGTGAAATAAGAGATAACATCAGGGGATCCAGGGGGGGATACTCCCTGGACCCAAGGATGCTCAGTGGACCTGGTGCAGAAGCTCTGCAGGCCAAATTAGGCTAACAAGTTTGAGCTTCTCCTTCCCTGCCTGACACAGAATTGGGAACTGGCAGGGGGAGAGTCAAGTTCAAAGCACCACAATTATTAATTTCAGCAAGTGGTCTTTGGCATTCACTTCCTCTACCTCCAAACTACTCCACAGAGATGCTGTGAGAGTTAAATGCAAGACTGACAGTCACCATGTATATTATATACTGGGTCAAAAATTCATACATACATACATACATACTAGCTGTCCAATAGCACTGAAGACAATTGCCTTATGGTGTACATTCTGAATCAAATGCAGGTTTTTAATAAGCTCAGAATCATGGCTGAGCCAGCAAAAACAACCTGTACACTTGTATATCCTTGTATAACCAAGAAAGCCCATGGACTACAATAATTCATAAATAAAGATATTTTTGAAATGTACTCTTTGGGCAGTTCTGTTTGTTTTAATCAAATTTGTATATTGCTTAGAATATGAACACTACAGCACATTATTATTATTAGTTTATAAGTAGTCCTTGCTGAGCTGTTTCAAAGGCAGTTCAAAGCCATCCGTCATCATCATCATCACCATCATCATCATCAATAATACATTATATTTCTCAAGATATATTGTTAAAGTTTAGTATATTATCTAAGAGTTCAGAAACAATTAGAACATGCACTCAAGCAATGTCAGAGGACATGCAATGCAACCAAGTTTAAGAGCTCTCAAAGTCTCATTGTTTTTAGTGGAAGAGCGAGAACAATATAATCAAAGTTAAATACTCGAAATCCATTTAATTTCAGTGATAGAGAGTTATGCAAGTGCATCACCTTCCCATTGAAATCAGTGCTTAACTTTGGCAGGATTGTGCCGCTCGTGTTCCCTTTGAAATCAATGCAACATAAAATGCTTTCCAACGTTAACTGGATCATATCCATAACAGCTATAGCTGACCATTTTTTTCAATAAATCCAGTTGATGATTCTCTCTTTCTAAGCAAACATTTCTATACAGCAGAAATGTGTATTGTTCTGAATACAAATGAGTGTGGAGAGGTAGGGATGAAGAAGGAATATTACCAAAGCCAGGCAAACACCACTAAAACTGTTTCCAAATATTTAAATAAAAAGGTGCAGTGAAAGCTGACAAGAACTAATGTAAATACCTAAATAAAAACCTAGCAAGCAGATTTGTTCATACAACAAATCATGCTGAATAGGTAGACCAATCATTCCAAGCTGAATAAAATAGTTTGAGCATGTTTGTTTATGTAATAGAAGATTCGGTGAGAACTTAAGCAGCTTGCAGGGTGCTTAGCATTACGTGCCAAAGAAGGATTTAAGTGTGTGGATGAATCTTCACAAATAATTTAGCCTCCAAGTTTCTAGGCTAACAATTAACTATTTTCCTTAAACATTTAATGAATGTATGGTTGCAAAGAAGTGGCAAAGTTCTACACTTAAATATAATATTGGAAATATATGTGTATGCTTCCCCTGTTTTAGTGCACACAAGAAAGAAAAATATATTACAAGGAGTAAGGTCCTTGAAGCTTTACAACTTCATCAGCTCCTAATGCTGGCATCATAATCTTCTACTTATGACTTCACAATGGAGAGGATTATGATATGCTACAAGGAAGAGGGTCCTGATTTCAGGTGAGATGTACACAGTAGGATGAAAACACCCAACACATGGAATAACAAAATACAATTGTCTGTAAGCTACTCTGGCTGTAATCCTATTCACAATTGAACTTGGGGGCAAAAATTATTTCTGAATAATTTTTGCCTAGGAGTGTACTATGCAATTTTGCTAATATTTTACAAAAATACCAATGCTTGCATTACCAAGGTTAATAATAAAAGGCAAACAGAAGAGAACATATGCTCTTAAAATAAAGCCAACATGTTTTCAGATTGTTCACACCACATCTCTTACAAAGCTCTTCATTAACTCACTATAGAAATGGCCTGCCATGGTAGCAGCAGAACATGTGGTCTGAGCACTAGGATCTCCTTGCTCTCCCACAGTGCTTTTCACTGATGTCCAACAACCTCTGCTGGGCACACAGAATTAAGGCTGCAATCCTACATACATTTGACTGGAAGTAAACCAACATGAATTCTGCAGGACTTACTGCTGAGTAAACCTGGTCAGGGTTGTTATTCACCATACTCCTTTGCACTGAGCTGCTGTACCCAATTATCTACTTAGTCCCTGTAGTCAATCAGTGCCACACATGTAGGTAGCAACCAATATGGTGCAGCCCTAGCAAAATATAAGATGCCAGCTTCCCCAACTGCAGGAGCCAGAAACCCAGAAGCAGAACAGGATGGCATTCTACACAAAGTCACCTGTTCCTACTGGGTCTCTTTTGGGCAGAAAGGCTGCTGTCCTCTGCTGTGGGTGCTGATCTAGCCAGCACAATTCAGCTAGCAGTGACCAGTGCAGTGATTGGTACACTGGATTATCAAGGTGCGAATTTTCAGAATAATTGCATGGCAGTCATGCACAGAAGCCATAGTATACCTCAGAAAAGCTGTTATCTTGAAGCACCCTTAAGTTGAAATCCAAGCAAGTTATACATACATGCACTGGAGAGCACCCTGTCCAATTAGAGCTATCTGTTGTTTTTGGGATTCCAACTACAAAAGAGACAAGTGACTTTTTAAAAGACCTGCGCACTAATTTGCCTCTTTGGCATTGGAAAGATGTCAAAAGGAAGATCTGCCTGCCTGTGTGAGATTTTCTCTAGCACAACACAAACTAATTTACATCACAGCCTTAAGTAGCAAGAGATAAATTGTGCTTTATTTAACAAAATAAGTACAGAATCTGAAGTTGTACAAGAACGCATAAATAGGGAACTCTCTGCACTTCAAAAATGCTGCTTTTGCATTTTGATGGAAATCATCTGATTCAGCTGTTAATAATTTTTCAAATGTTCCAGATGTAAGTAATATTTGGAAAACAAACATGAAATTATGCAGGGTCAAAGAGCTATGAAACACCACCTAAGCTGCTCCAATGTTCTCATGTTGTAGGGCCAGTTGCTTTTGAACCTGAATGGAGTGTCCCTCAATAGTATAAAATATGGCATGAATGTTGGTTCAGCTGTTTCAAGAAAAAAGTAAAAAGATCCCACTGGGATCGTAAAAGCTTCTTGCATGTGTTTGAAGCTGTAATCCTAAACACACTTACATGGGAATATATTGCACAGAAAAAAACAAGACCCATTTCTGAGTGAGCAAGCACAGGATTGTACTGCTGGTAACTTTTTTGCTCTTATCAAAAGCTGAGAATAAATATGTATAGGATTGCATAATATGAGTGTAAAATAATGATACTACTTCTGCATTTCTGTAAAAAAAAGCTGCTGTATTTTAGAAGGAGCATCAACGATCAAGGAAAGTAATGTCATCCTAAAAACAAGCATTTCTGCTTTTTATCATTTTAAGGGATTCCTTTTGTTATTATGTGAAAATAAAATTAAACTAGTTCCTGGCTCAATTCAGGAAAATGTCGTACACATTCTATCCCCATGTACTTGAATATGAGATTATCATAGTGCCAGATGCCAGTATATTTCCATTATGACTATCAAGCCAGTATCTTTTCCCACACAACCTTAAAGAAAGCATACACTGTGCAGGATGTATCTAATCAAATTGGGCTAAAACTTGATGATTTGTGGACAAGTTGCCAGACTGGATATAACTGTTCACTTTTTTTAAAATGACTTTGATACAGACGTCAAAGTAGTGCAAGTCAAAAACTGAACACGTCTCTATGCTGCCTCATAAGTGAATGAGTCAGTTGCCTAGAAGAAAATGACGCTCTTAAAAGTGAATTAGTATTATTTTAAAGATGCATAAAACCACATTTGAAGATCACACATGGGTAGAGCAATCCTATGGCTCCTAGGATAATTAAGATTCCCATTTCTGAGGTGAGAAAACAGCTCCAACAACTGCACACAGAACACCATCCTGCAGCTGCAGCTGGTGTGGGAAGAACTGCAGTGGCTGCTTCTCCAAGATCATAACAGGTACCTTGGAGAAGCGGTTTCAGGGGCATTCCAGTGGGCAGCGAGGGAAATAGGCAAGCATGCCCAAGGTAAAAGCAGGTTGCTTATCTGTAACTGATGTTCTTCGAGTGGCCATCTGTGCATTCACACATATGGGTGCTGCGCCTGCACAGTGCCTAGGCCAGAAGATTAGAAAGCTAACAGTTTTTGGCGGGAAAACTCCGTTCCCCTCCCCCTCCATGGTATAAATAGGGCGGAGTGTCTGCCATTTTATTCAGTCTTGGAGACCGAACGTTTGCCCCCTTGAGGTTGAAAGTATATGATAGCAAACGTCACCGATACCATGAATATTACAGTATGGTACCGAAAAGCAGTATCTAC